CTCCCTGCCTATGAAACAATGTTTAACCTCGGTCATATCAAGGAAGGGAAAATAAATTATAGCTACTATGAGGTAGGGTTTATATATATATATGTATATCAGATTGCAAAGACTGAAAGTTAATAATACTATAATAAGGATATTAATATAGTGTGGAGGGTGTGAGGAAACAGATAGGTATAACCTCTATTGAAAGTTATTTGGAGATATCAAAATTTTAAATGCACTTATTGGACCCATCGATTCCACTACTCAGAAATGTAGCTGACACTTGTTCTTGCACATGTTTGTGAAGATATATTTACAGAGATGTTCATTACACCATTGTTAGTTATAGCAATAAACAGCCTCTATGTCCTCAGTAGAAATAGATTAAGTTAATTCTGGTACATCCATACGATGCAATGCTTTGTAGCTCTGTATTTATGAAATAAAATCATCTTCTATGATAAATTAAGTGAAACATGCAAGGTCTAGGACAATGAATAGAATATGCTTTCACTCTTTGTTAGATAGATAATCTCTAGAAGATACACACAGAATTGTATCTAAGAGATACAAGAAGACAGAAGTACAATTATCTCTAGAAAATACACTGTTAATAAGTGCTGTTTATCCATGATATAGGGGAGCAGGAACTGGATGGTTATGAGAAAAGATTCCAAAGACATACTTTATATCTTTAAAATTGTGTTCATGTATTACCTATTTTTAAAAATCCTGAAATGGGACAGGGCTTCTTCATTGGAGAGCAGGCATAGTGTATAAACCTCCACAGATATAAATGCTCGATAAGGCTAAAAGAACTGATATGAAACATTTTTCTAGGAATAGGTCTTGATGAGACTATGGAGATGGAAATAACCTGGTAGGAGTACAGGAACAAAAGGCTGAGTGTCCCCTCCCAACAAACATTCTTAACTTCATGATTTTACCAAGGGTAACTTTGGGCAAGTATACTGATCAATGTTTCTTGCCCACCAGGAGCCCGGCCTGCCCCTGATCTCTGTTTTGAGAAGGTAAATGTAGCAGGAGACACCTTTGGAAACTGTGGAAAGGACATGAATGGTGAACACAAGAAGTGCAACATGAGGTGAGGACCATAGAGCAGCCCCCATGAGGTGAGGGTGACCAAGCAATTCCTGTTCTGCCCTTCCCACTCCTGCCTGGCTCAGCAGCTGGCCCCAGAACTGGGCCTTTAAATAAGTCAGTTGAACTCAGTCGTCTATTCTTAGCCTATTGTTTGATAATGCACCATTCAGCCCTAAGGAAGAGGGGGGTGTGGGTGGCAATGCTTCCTAGAAAGCTGAGCAGGCTTCCTTTTGGGACCATCTTACAGTGGGGCAGGAAATTGGCTCTCTTGAATCATTTCTGCAAGGTGCTAATTATGCCCTCATCTGAATAGCTCATCATTTATTCATTTACTTATTCATTCATTCATTTACTCATTTATTCATTCCAACCAACCATCCACCTACCCATCCATCCATCCACCCATTCATCTATCCATCTATCCGTTTACCCACTCATCCATCCATTCATCTGTTTATCCATCCATTCATCCACTGTCCATTGAGGGTTTACCATGTGCCAGATACTGTGCTGAGTGCTTGGAACTTTTAATTAACAATACATTGTGATAATGGGAATGTGGAGAGAGCCACCCAGCCAAACTTAGTGGATGAGGGCGGTTTCCCAAAGAAAGCTATACCAACAGTTATGCTGAGATCTGGAGCATTAATCTAGGTGAACAGGGTAGGGAGTGGTGCTGGTGCATAGGAGGGTGTTCTAGGCAGAGAGATGAATAGAGAAAAACTAGCAGTTGAAAGAACTGGTCCCAGTTTGGTACAGTTAAGGTATAATGTTGGGGTGCCGTGGAGAGGGGCTGCTGAGAAATGAGCTGGATACTTAAGCAGGGACCAGATTGTGAAAAGCCTTGCATGCGTGGCTAGGGAAGTTGGGACTTTGGCCTGAGAGCAGTGTGGAAATCAGACTCCTGTGGGGCAAGACTGAGGCAGGGAAATCAGCGAGAGAGACTGGGGAGTCAGAGATGATCCCAGGCTTCGGGATTCTTGGAGCTCCTGGGTGGATGGTGGTGTGAAGAGCAAAAAGGGACAGATAGCTCAGGTCAGGCAGTTGTCCCTGAAGTAAGGACTTTCCCAGGCCAGTTCGCCCAGCCTAGATCTGCTCAGGGACAAGGACCCTGTTCCCTTCCCATGATCTTGGTCCACATGGAGTCCCTCCTGGTGGGTCCCCAAAACACGATCACTGCCCTGGACCTTTGCCCCACCGCACACAAGCCTGTTGTCTTGGACAAGAAAGAGTGAAGCCCTCTGGGGCCCCAGCCCTTACCCTGCCTCTGACTGCCTCTCCTTCCCTCCCTCTCTCTCGGGCCCAGAGATGCGAAGTGTGGGAAGATCCAGTGCCAGAGCTCCGAGGCCCGGCCCCTGGAGTCCAACGCAGTGCCCATCGACACAACCATCATCATGAACGGGAGGCAGATCCAGTGCCGGGGCACCCATGTCTACCGGGGGCCCGAGGAGGAGGGTGACATGCTGGACCCAGGCCTGGTGATGACGGGGACCAAGTGTGGCTACAACCATGTGAGTCCCTTCTCCCTGCCTAACTCAGGAGCCAGCTGCAGAGAGAAGTGATTGAGAAGCGTGAGCTCTGCAGGGAGGATGGCTGGGCTCACACCCCAGCCTTCCAACCCTGGGCCTCCTTTATAAAGCTAGTGTAGTGGCAGCAAGCACCCACCCCACAGAATTGCTAGAAGGGTTAAGGAGATAATCCCTGTAAAGCACTTAGATGGGCTGGCTATTGCCATTTTCACCCTGGTCATTAATTAGCATATGAATTAAAACTGGACTAGGAGTCAGGGAAGCTTGAGGAAATTAATGTCAACTATCTCATAGAGTTAATTGCGATAATGAAATTATAAAAATCATATGAAACACTTGGTATATAGTACCTTGCACAGAGTTGACTGCTGTCACCATCATTATTTTTAAGTATAATATTAAAATTAGTACATATTGATAGACAAGTAATTAACATAGTCCACATAACAGTAATATATAATGTATTAACATATTTAATATTATCTTGTTAAATATAATATTTTGACAGTGTAATATTTATTGTTCTCTCCCTAATCTCAAAAGTAATAGCAGAATTTAGTTAACTGCTGTCCTGTCTTTGGTTGTTTAGGTTGTTTTCCATTTTTCTCTGTAATAAACGACCTGAAGTGGGCAGCCCTTTTGGGTACTCATATTCTAAGTACAAATCCCCGTCGTCTCCTACTTCCCAACCGGCGTCCCTTCCTTTGTACTGAAGATTCCGCTTTCTCCGCTCTGCAGATTTGCTTCGAGGGGCAGTGCAGGAACACCTCCTTCTTTGAAACCGAGGGCTGCGGGAAGAAGTGCCACGGCCACGGGGTGCGTGCGGGTGCTGGGCTCCTCCGTGTGGGGGCGGGGGCGGGGGCGGGGCGACCCTGCGAGCAGCCGGCGCTCTCCAAGGTGCTGACGTCTCCTCCCCTCCCTCGCCCTAGGTGTGCAACAACAACCAGAACTGCCACTGCCTGCCGGGCTGGGCCCCGCCCTTCTGCAACACGCCGGGCCACGGGGGCAGCATCGACAGCGGGCCCATGCCCCCCGAGAGTGAGTGTCGGCCTGTGAGAAGGGCGGGCGCCGTGGGGGCGGGCGGTATGTCGCTGAGCATCCACGTTGAGTCAGCTTCGCCATCCTGGTTTTGTGGATCGAGGGGGGCGGAGCAGGAGGAGGGACAGCAGGAGGGACGCAGCAGCCTGCACTGGGGCGTGGCCCAGCGGCCTTTTGTCCTGTCTACCTGAGGAGGGGACCCTGCTTAGAGAGAAATTAAGACAGTCCGTGGATCACTGAATGTTCGAATCCTTTGAGGGGTGGGACGGTGACTAGTCCTTTTTGGACACTTAAAAATAATCACGAACCTGTGGCACATGATGGTGGTTTAGATTTCCTCTGACGAATAAAGGTTAAAATCGGGAACCAGACACTCAAAAAAGTTTTACAGTTTTTTAGTGGAACTCTCATGGATTCCAGCCCTGTGGCTTACAAACTTGTTTTTTTTTTTAAGTAGTAGCAAAGTACTTTTTAAAAAAGAAAAAGAAAACCCAAAATCTTTCAGAGATGAAACCCCAATATATAAAATATATGAAAAGTAATGTTTGTTTCGTTGGAATACATATATTTTATCCATTTAAATTTTTAATTTGTGAGAACATTGAGGTGGTTTTGATAAAACCAAATGTGAAATTACGGATTATGGATGAGAGTTCCAGTCTTAAATCAGTCTCAGTATTCTATGGTGGTTGCCTTGTATCCAGGAAAAGTGTGATTCAGGCTGAAAACTAGTGGCAAATGGGAACAGAGCTTGACCTGCTTGCCTCTCTTCAATTAAGCAAAAGTGGCTGTAGAGGCTTCATAGGGTCTGCACAAAGCAAGTTGATCTGGCCATTTAAGCAAATATTAGTGGTCTCCCAGTGGTACACAGTGTGTGTGTGTTTTATTATAATTTGTCAGTTAAAGTGAGTCATACCCGTTAAATGCAAATCAAATATCTGAAGAAGAATCAGAAATACATTGTCAGAAATCCACTGCTATAGCCCAGATAGCTTCTAAATCTCCCACCTGGGTTCTGTTTCTGGAAGGCGTTGGTCCTGTGATAGCGGGAGTGTTCTCAGCCCTCTTTGTGCTGGCGGTCCTTATGCTGATGTTCTACTGCTGCAAACAGAACAACAAACTGGGCCAACTCAAGCCCTCGGCCCTCCCTTTCAAGTTGAGGCAACAGTTCAGGTATGATGGGGTCCCAGGAGGGACTTGGGGGTCTACTTATGAATCATAAAGATCTTTGTAAGAAGTACCTAGAGAAAGTGTTGGGTGTGCTGGGTCTAATTTAGGGAAGATAAATGCAGGGTACACACTGTCCTCTTCTCTACTGGGATGCTCTGTGACCGTGGCAGACATCACTAGTTGATCTTACTGCAAGTACACTCTACTGAGCCTGGTCATCACTCCAGAACCCTTCTCAGCAGATTACTCACAACCAATGCAGGTTGGAATATAAAATAAAATCGATTTCCCATCCTTTATCTAATTGATTTGTTCTCCATTTTAAAGAGCAGGAAACAGAGACGACAGAAGGGATCACTAGCCCAAGTCAGTTACAGGGGTGGCTGGACATCAACTCAAGACAAAGACAAAGTCTTTTTTTAAGCGATTGCTTTTTTTGGATATTGAACATGCGTAGTCTGAGTCCCTATTAAATTACACTTGTTCTGGAGGGGATTGTAAGTCCCAGGTCTTTCTGAATCTATGCCCAGGAGGACTGGTTGATGGCTGTGATGTCTTGTGTCTCCTTAGAGGGGAAAGGTCTTAAAAGGATGAAGAAAAGGCTCTGAGAAAGCTCTGCTTTGTGTAAGGCCAACTCTCTTTCCTTGGGAGTTCTCCACTGGCCACACACAGGTCTTCTTTGGGAAGATGGGGTTTGAGAAGACCAATCCTACTTCCTCCAGAGCAGATTTGGGGAAGATTTAGCTGCTTGCTGGCTGTGCTTGGGTAAAAGGGAACTCAGTCGCTGACCTTGGCTGAACATCTGCCCCTCCCATTCCCCGTTACTAGCTGTCCCTTCAGGGTGTCTCAGAACAGCGGAACTGGTCATGCCAACCCAACTTTCAAGTTGCAGACACCGCAGGGCAAGCGAAAGGTAAGGGCTTTGCCCCTCGAACATTGTTACTTTTCTGTTATCCTCAAGACCACACTGGATTTTCCTAAGAGCCTCTGTGGGCCCTTGGGACTGGTAATAAAAGCCATTTTATTGGCTTGAGAGACATGTCGATTTGTTCTGACGTCCCCTAATGACTTTTAAGGTTGCATCTGACCTCTGGGATGCTAGGGGTTCAATGGGTCAGCATATCTGTTCTCGCATTGGGCTCTGGTCCTCTCAACGAGGCACACAAGGGCACCCCTGAGTTTTTAGTGCATTGAGGAGTCCTTGTCTCAGATGTTCCTTGTCTTATGTAAATAGATGATCAACACTCCTGAAACCCTACGGAAGCCCTCCCAGCCTCCTCCCCGACCTCCCCCAGACTATCTGCACGGCGGATCCCCACCTGCGCCATTGCCAGCACACCTGAGCAGGGCTGCTAGGAACTCCCCAGGGCCTGGGGCTCAAGTAGAGAGAAAGGAGTCATCCAGGAGGCCTCCCCCGAGCCGGCCAGTGCCCCCTGCACCAAATTGCATCCTCTCCCAGGTAAGTGGATTCTCAGCAACCCTGGGCTGGGAGCATCGCTCTTAAGGCTCCCTGCAATGTGTATGTCAGTGGCTGGGAAGATGGAACACAGTGACTGCTCTTCCTGTGTTCTGGTGACTACAGGGGACATGCAGTGGGTTAGAGCAATGAACAGGAGGAAGTAGCCTCCCCAGGCAGCTCCTAAGCCACATGGCATTTCCTCTCTGGTTGGCCTATTTCATGACACACCACGAACCACCTTCCCCCACCAAATTAACTTCTTTCAGTTCCCCATGCTCTGTGTCCTCTAGGTCTTTGCACACACTGTTGTCCTGCCTGACATGCTCCTTCTGCCCCTAGCATGCCAACCCCTGTTCATCCTCACATCTGCTCTTAGATGCCACTCCTCCCAGGAAGCCTGCTCTGACCCCTCGAGTCTGAGTTTGGTGCCCTTGTACTTCTCTCATCATAGAACTTATCCCACCAACTCGTACCTGTCAGTATTTTCCAGTAATCAGAAGTCTTACTGAGGGAGGTACCTTGATGTCTTGCTCATCTGACGGGCAGGGCAAGGGCAGGGGCCTGTGGGAGGTGAGGGTGGGGTTCAGGCTCTCTGCCCCCACCACTGGTGCTCATGAAAGCAGAGCCCCACCCCGTGGTCTGTGCTCTGATGGCTCCAACCACACCTGCTGGCAGAAGTTCCCTCAGTGCAGACACTGGTGTTTCCGGGGTGGTGGCTTGGCATGGTACCTTCTGGAACCAACCTGTGTGTTTTGTGTGACACCTCAAGTGAGACTGCTTTTCTTGGGCATGGTCCTCCAAGGGCTCCACAGGGCCCAGGCTGTCTCTGATCCTAAGGACTGTGGAGCTGGCTGCAGCCTTTGGCAGGTCCCTGGGATGCGGAGCAGTGGTGCGGTTTGGCAGAGCTGAGAGCATCAGGTCTGGTTCTGAGCTTTGTAACTGCTACTGTCCCATTCCCCTTGTGTGGAAAGAAGTGGGATAGGAAACCTGTGGAGAGAGGGAGGGGAGGGATTGACAGGGAGAGAGAGGGGAGAAAGGGGAGAAAGCAGGAGGAGGGAGGAGGAGAGAGGGGAGAGGCGATGGAGTGTATTCGTGTGCGGGGGCTGTCATGACAAAGCACCACACACTGGTGTCTTCAACAACAGACTCTTTTTTTTTTTTTTTTGAGACAGAGTCTCACTGTGTTGCCCGGGCTAGAGTGCTGTGGCGTCATCCTAGCTCACTTCAACTTCCAACTCCTGGGCTCAAGCGATCCTCCTGCCTCAGCCTCCCGAGTAGCTGGGACTACAGGCATGCGCCACCATGCCCGGCTATTTTTTCTATATATTTTTAGTTGTCCAATTAATTTCTTTCTATTTTTAGTAGAGACGGGGTCTCGCTCTTGCTCAGGCTGGTTTCGAACTCCTGAGCTCAAACAATCCGCCCGCCTCAGCATCCCAGAGAGCTAGGATTACAGGCGTGAGCCACCGCGCCCGGCCAACAGATACTTATTTTCTCACAGTCCTAGAGGCTGGAAGTCCAAGATCAAGGTGCTGGCAGGGCTGGATTCTCCTGAGGCCTCTCTCCTTGGTGTGCAGATGGCCACCTGCTGGCCGTGTCCTCGCCTGGCCTTTCCTCTGTGCTCGTACATCCCTGCGATCTCTCTGTGTGTCCAAATGTCCTCTTCTTATAAGGACACCAGATTGGGTTAGGGCCACCCTAATGGCCTCGTTTTAATTCAGTCAACTTTTTGAAGACCTTATCTCTAAATATGGTTCAATTCTGGGGTACTTGGGGTTAGGGCTTCAACGTATGAATTTTTTTTCAAATGGTGGGGGGCACACAATTCAGTCATAACAGAGAGAGGAGAGAAAGGAGAAAGCAGCCATGCAGAGACAGGCAGTGAGGGAGAACAGGCGTGCCTGCGGGGGGACAGGGACATGTGTCAGGGGAACTTTGTTCCTACAGACCCACATTGCAGGCTTGTTCAGAGAACATGGGGTTGGCCTCACCCCATGTGACTCTGAGGCACATGGCACTAGGACTGGGTCAGAGTGTCAGGGACGGTGGGAGAAGCAGTGCAGCCCCTGGGTGCCGCTGGCAGGGGGCCCCAAAACCCAGTTCCTGAGCACAGCTTCTCCTGGGTGCCTTGGGCCCCAACAGGGGTTTCTCTGTGAGCAGGCAGTGGGAGGCCACTGCTCTGAGGGGGGCTGTAGGGACAAGATCAGGCCAGCCACCTCCCTCCTCAAAGCCATTCCAAGAAGTGAGTTGTTGCTCCCTAGTTTCTCACTGAGGCTGCTCAGTGGCCGGGCTGAAGGGACTCTCCTGCCATTGCTCAGTTTGTGAGTAGAGGAACCAGGACTTGAACCCAGTGCTCAGCCAGCTGAGCGAGACACCCCCCTACCCCAGGGACAATCACAAGCTCTAGTCTACGGGCCAGAATGCAGCAGCTCTACCGCCTCCCAGCTGGTGGTTCTGGGGGGGTGGCATTTAGACCCCCTGGGGGGTGAGTGAAACTTTGTAAGCTCTTAGGCTCTTTTCACAAATGTGTGTGAGCATCTACTCTGCCAGGCAATGGCGAGCTAAGCAGATGCCAGCTTTGCCTCCTGGATCAATTTTGCTGCAGAAGAGACTCTGGGGTACGTGTCCTCACAGTGCAATAAGTACTGTGAAGCAGAGGGTCAGGGTGCTCAGAAGAGAGTAACAGCGGACTTGACCTAGTCTGGGAAATCCAGGAAGGCTTCCCTGAGGAGGTGACATTTGAGCTGAGACATGAAGGAGGAACATCCCATCTGTGATGGGAGAGAGCCTCATAGGCCTGTGTGGGGGGGGCCTGAGGAGCTATGACGAGGCTGGAGAGCCAAGAGGGGATGGACTATGCCCAGGCCACATAGCCTCGGTCAGGACTTTGGTCTGCATTCCACAGGAAGGGGACAGCGTTGGAGCATGGCGACATGAGGAGATCTTATGAAGATCGATCGCTCTGGGCTGTCCTAGGCAGGAGGGAGGTATAGTGCCTGGGAGGGGCCCATAGATGCTTCTGGGGCTGCTCATCTTCTATGTCTTGACCCGGCTGGGGGTTACTTAGTGTGTTCACGTTGTGATAATTCATCTAGTTGTATATTTATGATTTGTTCCCCTTTTTTTTTTTTTTTTGAGACAGAGTCTTACTGTGTTGCCTGGGCTAGAGTGAGTGCCGTGGCATCATCCTAGCTCACAGCAACCTCAAACTCCTGGGCTCAAGCGATCCTCCTGCCTCAGCCTCCCGAGTAGCTGGGACTACAGGCATGCACCACCATGCCCGGCTAATTTTTTCTGTATATTTTTAGTTGTCCAATTAATTTCTTTCTAATTTTAGTAGAGACGGGGTCTCGCTCTTGCTCAGGCTGGTCTTGAACTCCTGAGCTCAAACAATCCACCTGCCTCGGCCTCCCAGAGAGCTAGGATTACAGGCGTGAGCCATTGTGCCCGGCCTGTTCACCTTTTTATGTCTACATTACACTACAATTAAAAAATAGTTTTAAAAAATAAAAGGATCACTCTGGCGGCAAATGGATGTCTTCGTTAGAAGATTTAGAGGTTGTCCTGAGAAAGACGATAACAGCTGGCAGCAGCGAGTGGCAGGGGTGACGGAGTGAAGCCAGTGAGAAACGTATGAAAGAGAAAATAGGCAGGACTCTGGGATCTGGTGCAAACAGGGGTTGGCAGGGGGCGATGCCCCGTGTGTGGCTTGTGCAACCCGATGGGGCGAGATGCCACCCGTGAAGGAGGGAGCCGTGGCCCAGAGTGGTTCCGGGGCTGTTTCTGCTTCAGGAAAACAGTGCTGGGTGAGGCCCCTGGTAGAGCTGAGCTGAATCCTCTCAGACGTGGCCTGTGGCAGGTCCTGCCTTGGTAGGCCCAGTGCTGACAGGCTGATAAAGCTCCTGCTCAGAAAACAATCCCCCACCCCCACCCCTGGTGGCTCATTGCACACAGCAAGTGGCCAAGGGAGCTTAGCCTTTCCCAATTGCAACCTGACACCTGCACCCAGCTGTCACTCCCCACCAAGATCCCTACCCTGGCTTCCGGCAGCCACTGCAATTTGGCAGCTGGTCTGGGATGGGGAAGGAGGGGATTGCATTGTCCTTTGGGTGGAACTGAGAATGTGGCTTTTTGGTCCCAAGAATCTACTTTGATTCTCTTCCCTGAGCTTTAGTTTCTGCTCTCAGTTTTCTGATGCAGAGAAGCTTCCTGTGGAAAATCTTGGCTCTCTGAGTGGCTCCTGCCCTCCCTGCGTGCTTGCCTTCTGACCATTTTATGCTTGTCAGCGACCCGCTCGAGAGAGGAGCAAGCCACAGAGAGAAGGCACTGGAACTCCCGTCTGTGGAGCTGGCTCCTCCTGCAACCCCACCAGCGTGGGGGCCTGTGGGTGGCACAGTCCATTCTTTGTACCTTAAAACATTTTTTAGACACAGAAGAAATACGTATTTATTTTAAGGTATTTGACTAGCACATTTATTCAACAAATGTGTGTCGAGTGCTACTGTATCCTAGGCACTGTTCTGGCAGCTTGAAATGTGTCGGCGAACCCAGCAGACAAGGACCCCGCCCTGCCTCTCTTCTGGTGGGGGTGGGAAGATAAAGTAAAAATCAACCAATGTGGAAAAAATGTGGTTTCTTCTTCTTTCTTAGATTTTCTTTTTATTTGCATAGGCAATCTACACATATGCTCTTGCTAAAAATATTGACTGTTCACCTGGACCACCCCCCTCCCCTCTCACCCCCTATCCCAGTGTAACCTGTGTTCCCAATTTGCTCTGCACCCTTCCTGACTTCTTTCTGTTCCTGTACGTTTACATTAGATGGGGAGCGTGGTGACTTATTTTAGATAAACCGTCCTCTGCAGCTTGTACTTCAGCTTGCTTTTTTCACTTAACAACCCTCAAACATCAACCCACATCAACCTACTTCATTCTTTTTAAATGCCGCATCATTTATCACTGCATAATTTTAGTTATTTCTCCTCTGATGGAAGTTTTGGCTATTTATAGTCTCTTTGCTGTCACAAGCAGTGCTGCGGGGAACATCCTTGCCATTTCATTTTTGTGCACCTGTGCAAATAGTTCTCCAACAGGGGTCACAGGTGGTGGGATGATAAGGTCAGAGAATGATCATTTCTAGTTTTGGTAGCTACTACAACTTGCTGTCCAGAAAGGCTTCTTCCTGAGCGTATAAACACATGACCTGCACACAGACGCGCCATGGCTTTTTCAGTGAGAGCGGGCAGTATACGCCTTTCTCCATCCGATTTTGGCGCATAAGATGTCAGGAGCATTCTCTCTTGGACGGGCCCCTCCATCCTTCAAGTGAGGCTTATCGCTTTCTCTCCAGGACGTCTCCAGGCCTCGGCCGCCCCAGAAAGCGCTCCCGGCAAACCCAGTGCCAGGCCGGAAGGCCCTCCCCAGGCCAGGCGGTGCCTCCACACTGCGGCCCCCTGCTGCCACCTCTCAGCAGTCCCGGCCTCTGGCAGCACCTATTCCAAAGGTGAGTCCACCGCGTCCGCCGGAGCCCTCGGGGTAAGCCCAGTCCCAGAGGGCTTCAGCGGGGCAAGGGTGGGGCTGAGGAAACGAGCCAGCTTGTGCTTCTGGTCTTCTGGGCTGAACTTCCAGAACAGCAGCCGAGGACGAAAGTGGAGCCTTTCTTGGTGCCTGCTTGGCCGTCCATCGTATCTGTGGTAGGGTGTCTGTCTTCATGTGAAAGGTGGTGCTTAGGAGCCTGAGCTGTGGTGGCCTCACGGCTGCGTCTGCACCTGACCAGCAGAGTGGCCTGAGCGAGTTCCTCTCTCCAGCCTCGATTTCCTTATCTGTAAAAAGGCCGCTGCACAAAGCGGAAGTCCCCAGCCCCGTCAGGTTGCTGTGAGGAGCAAGGCGGGGTAGGCTGCGCACACACAGCCCCCTTGCCACCTCTTCTCCGTGGCTGACGTGCTCTGGCCGACAACCTGCATTCCCACGAGGCGCTGGGAAGTCTGTGGGCTGCGCTGCAGCTTTAGGGGGGAAGGGGGGGCGGGGATGAGCAATCAGCTTGAGATGGGGACCCCCCCCACACCCTCCCCGCAGGGCTGGTGCTCTGGGTGGGCAGTTACATCAACAGGCTTCCACCGGAGACCTTTCCTCTCGGTGACGGTCCATCCGTCCTTTCAAGCTGTTAAAATTGGCTTCTGCGTGGTCCTGTCCATCAGCATCGAGCTGATGTCTTTCTCCCTCCCTTCTCTCCCTTTCCACAGTTTCCAGAATACAGGTCACAGAGGGCTGGCGGGATGACTCGCTCGAAAATCTAGACCCGCCTAAGGGGCTTCTACGTTTCCTTTGAGGACTCTGGACGCCATAGAGGAGCCAGGGCCACGGAACCTGAAAGAAGCATGACTCGCCACCTCTGAGCTCCGCCCGCCCTCCTCCGGAACCACCACGTCTCCAAGAATCTCCTTCTTGACTCGGTGCCTCCTCGGCTTCCTCGGAAGCCCAGGGGGACTGTGATCCGATGGCTTCTAAGGGTGGTTTTGTGCAATACGCAGCCCCGGTAGGGAGGGGAGTGCACGGAAGAGGATGGGTGGCAGCTTCTCCTCCCAACCTCCCGGGTCAGAGCTGTCCGAACTGGCCAGCCCAGCAGGGAAAAGTCCTGTTCAGCCCCTCAGGCCAGGACCCGGTTTGCAGAAGCCATCCGTCCATGTCCTGCGGTAGAGGGTACGCACGAGAGCTTCCCACTGCTTCTGTCTCCCTTGATGGCCCTGGGCTGGACGGAGGCTGGCACTTACCCATCCCTTTTAGCTTTTAGGGATTGAGGAAGGGGCAAGCCAGCCATTGCTGTGGCCCTGCCCAGGGCTTGGTGGAGGTGACGGCTTCTGGCTATGTGCCTGCATGCGACAAGCCAAGTCCCCTCCCCACTTCCCCCCAAACGCCCACGTCCCCTTATCCACACGGGTCACTCTGACTCAGACAGGTACTATTTGTAGGCAGTGTAGACAGCAGGGGAGCGCCAGGCTCGGGCCTCCTCTGAGCTGAGATGCCAAAGTTTCGACTCCTGACTCTCGGTAATTTGGGTTGCTTTTTGTTTTCTCTTCTGCACTTCCCTAGTGCCCCATGCTTTTATCTTCACCTTCCCCCTCAGACGCCCTCTAATGTGTGGTGCTTGGGTGAGTGGATCCTCAGCAGTCCAGACTTTCTGGTGACCAGGTGCTTGTGACCTACAAGTCAGGGTCCTGCCTCGAGGTTGGCCACTGGATTTCCTGCATTGGATCTCAAGAGCACTGGCCAGAGTAGACTCAGGGCATGGCCCTGGGGGTCATACCTTTATTTTTCATTGTGTTTTGGGACCTCAGCAGGGTGAGGGTCTTCCTCCTTACTCCCTGACCTACACCGAGGTGAGGTTCCCCCAGGAATGGGAGCAGGTGTGGTGAAGGCAGCAGACACCCGAGGAAGCCCAGCTGTTAACAAAGTATGCACAAGGGAGCCAGCCTGTCCCAGTGGTCTGGTCGCTGGCTTGAGGCGGGACCGTGGCTCTCGGAGCCAGAGCAGACCTGTTTCTAACCCAGGGAGCCTCTGCAGCTGAGAGCCCTCGAGAAGACAGCCATCAGCAGCCGTGCTGGAACAGTCAGCGCTGGGGCCCCTCCCCTCCTCCCCCACCTGGCTTTTATCCTTCACTTCCTTTTGTGCTCTCCCTCTGGTCACTGCCCTTCCCTGACCCTCGCAGAAGGAGAGCTGTGAGCAGGTGGGGGAGCTGGGCTGCGGTGGCCCCGTCCTCCTGGAGCAGGGAGGGAGGCCTGTGCGGTGCTCTGCTAGACAGGACAATTTTCTCAAAGTAGCGGGAGACGTTCTCCGAGAGACCGTCTCCCGCTCCAGGAAGGTGCTGGGTGGCTCTCCAGAGGGGAGCTGGCCTGACTTTCACCCCTTTGAGGCTTTCCAGGGGGCTCCCCACCTCCTGCAGTGAACAGTTGTTTGCTCTTGAAAACCTCAGTGCGAGGACTAAGGCCACCTACCACCCCAGGGCCTCCTTATAGTTCTCTGCACACAGGTGCTTCATAGATGTTCTTGGGTTTGTCGATAAATGGGAGATATGGGATGTGCACAAACCCGGGGTGGATTTTAGAAAGATCTCAGGAAAATGAGTTCTTCTGTCCTCAGGGTGGCTGTGATACCATTGCTCTGTCTCCCTGGCCTGGGCCCTTCTTGCTCCCAGATCCACTCCCCGCCTTCCTGGCAGCCTGATTAAGTCAGGGGACGGCAGTGCCCATGCCTCATGGCTGATCTCCAGAAAAGCAAAGTGAAAATAAACAAACAATACCCTCAAACCCCAGCCCATGCCTCACAGATGTTCCTGTGGCTTGTCCAGGAGGTAGGCGGGTCTGAAGGGACAACGCCACAGCCATTACGACGGCATGAGGCTTCTGAACCTGCAATCCACCCTCCCTGGAACCATACCCAAAAGAGACCTGGGTTGTTTTCTTGCTTTTTGTTTCGTTTTTGGTTCTTCATTATTTTAATACCACCTCCATCCCGTGAAAATGTACTGTGAACTGGAAGATGGTGGAGTTTTTTCTTTTTAATTTGATGGAGACTTTTGGCAGCTGGTTCTATTGGCTGTTTCCCTCCTGGCCCTGTTCAGGGAGGCTGCCCCGGGGAAGACCCACCGTCATACATCCCCTTCTCTTTCCAGTGCCCGTCGTACTCCTGTGAGGTGTCAAATACAAATAAACCCGGGCTTAGGGAAGGAGAGACCTTATTTGAAAGGATCATTGCAAGTTGGGGAAAGGAAATACTGCCAAAGGGGGATGAGGGAGGCTTTTGCAGTAGGGAGCACGCTCAGACCGACCTACTGCGAGATCAGCAAGCGTCTCGGAGCCCAGGCAGAGAAGGCCTTTTCTTTTATTGGAAGAAGTAAACATGGCTAGACGGAGCCACGTTCAGGGAATGTCTCTGTGCCCAGCCTTTTTTGGAGGTGGATGGGTTGTTAAGCGGGGCGATGTTTTCTGGCTAAGGTGGAGGGCGGGTCAAGGTCCAGGGTCTGGTGAGGAGGAGGGAAGCCTAACTAAAGTTTGGTTTAGTGAGTTACCACCCACTCGGATAGAGATGTGTGTAAATCTTTATAAAAGCTAAATTAGCCTCCTGCCAGGTTTACAACTCTGGAATGTTTTCCTTAAGGGCCTTGGAGCCATCTCTGAAATATAAATCTCAAGTGAGATAGCGCCCCTGTCTCCCTGTCTTTCTGGGAGTTTTAGCCCGGGCACGGGGCTCCAACTTGTAAGTATCTGCTTGCATCAGTTCCTTTTAGCCTTGTTGACTTCGCCCTGTAAAAAGACAGGCCTTTTCTGCCCCAGCTCTGAGACGCTTGCAGATCTTAAGGTCTGAGAAGCTTGCAGACTGTCTGGTCAGAGTGTTCTCTGTATTGCAACACACCTTCCCCCATCAGGGTAGTCCCCTTTCCATTTCTTGCAGTGTTTCTTTTGAATATGTTCTCTCCTTACCTATGTCCTAATTTGTTCTTATTTCACAGAGGGTATGGAAGTCCTGCATTTTTAAAATAAGGGACCAGTTCTAAAGTGAGTAATTGTATTAAATGCATGTATATCAGCTCTGCCGGACACCCAAGAAAGCCAAGGGAACGCCAACTGGAAAGGTCCCCCATCCTGAGGGAAGCCTGCTAAGGAGAGGTTCTGCGAAATCCACACCCCTTGTCCCCAAAGTCACCCCCCGCGTGTCCTCTCACACCATCCACTGTGTGTGTGTATGTGTCTGGGATCCAGGGCAATGTGAATTTTCTTTTTATTTGGGAGATTGTTCACAGACAACAGATCTTCTTCTCTCTTGTCCACCTATTAATTGTTTACAATACTTGTACATCTATGCAAAATACTTGAATGGGCCATGGTGCCTTTTTTCCTTGTTTGTATTTAATTAAAATGAATTGTTTGTCATTTGGAATGTTATCTGGTTTGGCAACTCTTTGTATGTGTGTTTTAATGTCTCACTGCTTAGACTGGATAGGATCCATGACACGTGGACTCCTCGAAAAGAGCTCCCACAAGGAACATCATTATGCTAGACCTTGAGCCACGGCAAAGCCCCGGGATTTCCCAGGACCAGTAGAGGCAGCTGTTTGTTGTTGCACCTGGACACAGGCTGGTCCAGTTTAATTAGGTCTTGGATCGTTAAAGGCCTGAATGGTCCTGGGAGTCTCTGGATATGTTTCTTCTCATACTACACTATTGCACTTAGAAGACAGCTGAGGGCCGGGCACGGTGGTTCACGCCTGTAATCCTAGCACTCTGGGAGGCCGAGGTGGGCGGATCATTCGAGCTCAGGAGTTCGAGATCAGCCTGAGCAAGAGCGAGACCTCGTCTCTACTAAAAACAGAAAGAAATCAGCTGGACAACTAAAAAAATATATATAGAAAAAATTAGCCAGGCATGGTGGTGCATGCCTGTAGTCTCAGCTACTTGGGAGGCTGAGGCAGGAGGATCGCTTGAGCCCAGGAGTTTGAGGTCACAGTGAGCTATGATGACCCACTGCACTCCAGCCTGGGTGACAGAGCGAGACCCTGTCTCAAAAAAGAAAAAAAAAGTATGAAAACATATCTACTTTGGGGATTTGTGGGAAGTTAGAGAATTCACAGGAGGCACTTACTGTCCTTGATGCCTGGAGTGGGCCCGGGCATCTACAAGGGATGAGTTACTGTCCACTGACTCTATTCCAAAAACCACCTTTCCCACTCTATTGAGGGCATAAATACAAAGGACGTCATAGGGACTTTCTTGGAAGCCACACCCTTTCAGAGACTGGAGACCGGCCTCTCAGCCCTAGAGGAACCAATTTTAATTGCTCTATGTTCAAGGAAGGTCAAGACACAAGTATCAAGTAAATCCACTCTCAAGTCTTTATTTCTGACCCTGCAGATCACACTCACAGGGCCACGCTGTTTACTGCCATTCTCGAGATCCAACGTGTTGCATTGATTTTAGTTACAGACAGAAATCCACATTCATTAAAATCTGGGGATTGGCGGCTGGAGGTGCAGGGAGCCAGTCTGCTGGTCAGCTGAGCCTTGGAGCTCCAAGGCCAGCAAGAGTTTGCCTGGGCTTGGCTACGTCAGGGCATGGGGTGCAAACACAGGGCACAGGTAGGGAGTCACGCAGGGGAGGCTCTGCACCAACAAGGGGACTGAGGACTCAGTCTTCCCTCTTTCCAGATACACTGCCCCCTAACTTCCCTTTCTCACAGTCCTCGCACCCCCCCACACTTGTGCAGCTGGGAAGAAGTAGGGAAAGGAAGGGATGTCAATTATATCTCTCTCCAGCGGCTCTGGTTTCATGGTGCCTCTGGCCAAATGTGAGGGGACCAGCGGCAGTCCCCATGGCAGGTGGTATTGGAAAAGTCATGGTGTGCTGTCCCCAGTGTGGGCAGCTCATCAGTGGAGCTGGGGACTCGGTGGCAACCTGGCCAACAGCCAGAATGCTCCCATGCCAGGCCTGTACTCCCACTTGGCCATGGAGATTCAAAGCTGATCCCACTGACCAAGCCTTTAAGGCTGCATCCAGAAGCTACCCCGGAACCCTTTTCTCCTAAGTCCCTTATTGAGCACCAGAGTAAACACAAAAGTTAGCCCCTGGTTTCCAGAGAGCCTGTGACTGCGTTCTGCCAAATCCCAGCTTTGCTCCTCATCCTTCTCCTCCCCTCCCCACATCACATTTTCGCTGACGCCCCGAGGAAAAGTCAAATGCATTCTGCCAAACCCAGCTCGACAGCCAGGCCACATTCAAGAGCAGTGCAATTGCTGTTCTCTCTCCACAATAAGGCAAAATGAAACGCTGGGTTTGGCCAGCAGTGCTTAGCTTTGCAGCATCTTTTATTGTTGTTTTGAGTAGGAAAATTACTGCCTGCATGTCTCAGCGGCTGACTCCATGGATGTCTGCAGAGAGGGGAGAGGGTAGGACGGACTGGGTGGACATCACGATGCTGACCACCAGGCCGGAGTGCTTGGGGAATGGACTGGTTGAAATCGTTCCCTGAGACATCAGGTGGCTTTCACAGTAAGAAGGTCAGCTGAGGTCTTGCTTCTGTCTCCGAAAAGGAAGTGGCATAAACAACAGGACAGTTTATGGTGGTGGTGTCCGTGTCAGCTCTGGGGATAAGGCATGGCAAATTGCTCCCAGAGCCTCTGGGAGCCGGCTCTATTTCATTCTTGGGCTAAGGAATGGCGATTCCATCTCAGGAGAACTGGTGCGAAGGATTTCCTGATGACCGACGTCTCAGGGAAGTTCTTGGACTGCACTACATTCAACAGGTCAAATTCTATCGTCTTCCCAAGAACACAGAGATGGCACCACGGAAGCAAGTGGGAAGGGAGGCCCAGCACACCTGCTGGCACCAATGTAAACAAGAGCATTTGGTCACTGAGGCTGTGTTTCCAGGAAGTTCTGCCACCACTGCTTTCTGGGTAGGGATTCTTCTCCCGGAAACAGCGATGAGGTATAAATGAACATCTCAAGAAAAGAGAGCCCACTGGTAACCAGGCAGTTGTGCTGAAAATAACCAAGTGGTTTCTAAATTGAGCGATCAGCTTATGCCGTCGGCTCATCCTCTCACTCACGTATTCCAAGCTTTAAGAACGGATTATAAATACTTTGGGCTTCTCTTCTGGTGATGGGGTGCTGGCAAGTTCTATGTTGTCCACAAGGACATTCTTGTCTTCCAGTCTAATGACAGTGGGCTCCGGGGCAGGAGGAGGGGGTGGGTTTTTGTGCGTGTGAGGCAAGCTGGCCCAGCTGACGTCCAGGTCTCTGAAAGCATGAAGCATGAACACACCCAGGATGATGGTGACAAAGCCCGAGAGGGTGCCCACGATGTCCACGGCAGACATGCTGTACCACTCCTTGAAGAGGATGATGGAAGAGGTGACCACCACCGTGGTGAAGAACACGTAATAGATGGGGAACACCAGGGAGGTATTGAAAATGTCCAGCGCCCTGTTGAGGAAGTTGACCTGAGTGCTGAGGGAGAGCGCCAGGATGAGGGACAGGATGTAGGGCAGTGGGTGCCGCACCACCGGCAACCCCTGGAAGAAGTTCTTAATGGTGATGCCCAGACCCTTGACAGCAGCCACGGAGAAGGCACCGATCACAGAGCAGATGATGATGTAAACGAGGATGTTCCTTTGCCCGTAACGCGGGGCGATGACGAAGATGAGGATGAGGCAGGACACCAGCAGGAGCACAGCAAACACGATATACCCTTTGGGAAGGGAGGGATGCAGTCAGCGTCTCGGGCCTAGACCCGGGGCAGGGGGAGGTAGCATTACAGTGGTGGGCTCTAGAGTCACACAAACTCGGATTCCAGTCCCGGCTTTACATTTTTGTAATCACTTGGCTAAGTTGTTAAACCCCCAAGACCTGTTTCCTCGTTTTAAAAGAAGACCAACAACAGGATCTTCCTTCTAGGGCCGTTTTGTGGGATTCAATGAGATCATGTCTACAAAGCATTTAGAACAGTACTTGGTGCATAATAAACACTTAATCAATGGTATCCATAATGCATGAGACCAGGAAGCCTTTAAGTCAGCCTTGCTGAGTACGCACCCGCCACCTTTGCTTGCCTTGTCCTCTAGGTGGCAGCATCTGAGATGGTCAGAGCCCAATCAGAGCTTCCGCAGGCTTCATCCCCCAGCGTTCTCCTGCTCCCCAGGAGCCTGGAGCCTACCTGTGTCTTTCATCTTGGAAGCCATCTGCATGATGGTGGTGATCTTCTCTTCCTCAGGGGCGTGTATCACCATCACTGTGCTGCCGGCCACACAAATCACACATCCCAGCTTGCCCAGCAGGTTCAGGGTCTCTCCCAGAAAATACGAGGAGAGGATGGCGCTACACATGGAAATGGGAAAAAGGGATTAGCGCAGCCCTGACGGTCCCTGTGTCCCAAAGAAAACTGGGGGCTGAGCCAACACTCACAGAGAACAGATCAGAACTCACTACTCGCTCACGTGGAAACTTTTCTCGATCCCCCCAAAATGATGGAATAGAAACTCAGTTCTGAGAGGGTTACAGTGTTTGCTAGAGGAAGAGAAATGCAGGTGAAAGTATTCCCAAACATAAGGAGTTGGAAGGACCCTTCAAAGCACTCTTGTCTAACTTCCTACCCAGTGATTATATCCTCTCTTAGCATTGCTGACGGATGGCTTTCAGCCTTGGCTTGTATACTTCTGGTGACAGGGAGCTCACCCCTTCACAAGCCAAATGACTCCATTGTAGGTTCACTCTAATTATCCACCAAAAATATACCTCTAATTTCTACTCCTTATCCCATTTCTGTTCCTTGGGTCACAGAGAACAAATCTATTCCATCTTCCATTTGTATATGCCAATATAAACAACTGCAGCGACAATAGCAGGCAGCATGTCTTAGGCATATATTACCTACTAGGTACAGTACTAGGAACTTTCCATTTTTCTCACTAACATCTCACAACTCTTGATAAAGTAAAATCTACTATCCCCATTTTATAGACAAGACAACTGAGGCTCATAGAAGTTAAAATGACTTGGCAAGGTCAAACCACTGGTAAGCAGTGGAGCCAGGATTCAAGCGCAAGTTCTCTCTAATTATAAAGCGGATGGGGTTTCCTCTACACCTCATGGAAGAAAATTCTCATGACTTTCCTGAATTTTCAATTTCTGGGCAAAATACTTCCAGTTCCTCGCTGTTCTCGGTGACGTGCTTTCCACTCCCCTCACATCCTCTAGATGAGCCAGTAGAGGTGACAGAAGAACGGAAAGAAACTGGGCAAGCCGGATATGATCACTGGGCTTGCATGTGCTTCTTTGCAAAGGTGCCATTCGTTTAGGGTAAAAATCTGCTGGCTGTCCTGGGACCCAATTAGCCTTAAAAAATCCTGGTTCAAGGTATCTGAAGAGAGGGGATTGGTGTCTAAACTCCTTGTCTGTCTCCTGTCTCTCTTCCAGAACTACAAAAAAAATTTTTGCCTATAATTTCCCATTCAAGAGACATTCATGGAGGCAGGGGCCACACACTGGAGGATTCCGTGCCTCTCCCACCTCCCCTGGGTGGGAATTTGCAAACTAATCAGATATGCAATAGTGGCATCAGAGCTCCATCAGCTGTGAAATCAGCTAGGCCAGTTGTGCAGTGTGAGTCATGGTTGTATTTGTTTTTTGATTGTGTAAATGTTGCCAAATTGTCACCAAGACAGTAAAACCAAAGAGGAAATTTTGAGGACTGGGTGTGATCAGCTGGGATTTACCAGAGTTCCAAGATCAGGCCAATAATAAAAGACTCCTTCAAATGAGGTTCCAAGACACCCACAGGGGAGGAACTTGTTCTGTGTTTGTAGCTTAAGAGGACTGGGAGCATAGGGAAACACACACAGTTAGCATGAGTTATTTTACAAACCATCAGACATTTGTCGAGTGTTTAGCTGAGTGGCAATGTGACAGAGTGGTCAAGCATACTGAGTCCGGAATTAGACTGCCTGGGTTGGAATCCTGGCCTGGCCACTTGGAACATGGTGACCTTGGCCAACTTGCTTAACCTCTCTTGGCCTTAGGTGCAGATACTTTGAGGATTAAATGAGTTATTACACAGGATACGTTTAGAAACTTTAGTTAAACCCTCAATGAATGCATTTTCTGTGCATTATCTCATTTAGTCCTCAGAACAACGCCTCCAGGTTAGTATAATTAGCATTCCCACTTTGCAGATGGGGAAATTGAGGCTTAGAGTGGTTCAGTGACACCCATGGTAACATAACTACTGAGTGGTAGAGCGAGAATTAGAACTCAGGTAGTGTTAATCTAGGGCTCATGCTCTCAACTTATAGGCTGCTTCTATGGCGGCCCCAGAGTATTGACATGAGACAATTGGCCCGGCAGCGGTGGAAGCTCTTCTGACTGGCTTGGGCTTGGCCTGCCCCTCTATTACCCGGGTAGTCAAGAGAAAGCAGCAGCAAACAACCCAAGGGTCCAGGGCTCTGGACAGCAAGCTGCCTCTTTTGGGGGGCTGAGTCCCACCCAGTTCTCCGATTGGCAAGTGGCAGTTGACCCCATGCGGCAAATCCAGGCCTCAACAAATCGAAAACAGGAAGGAGCCAGAGACAGTAAGAGAGGGGACAATAACCTTATGAGGACACTCAGGGCTCCCAGAGGTGTGACGACCGTCGCGGGTGCAAATGCATAGGCCCCGAAGTTGGCAACTTCTCCAGCAGCCACTAGGAAATTAAGGGAGAAAAGAGGCTAGGGTGGCGTGGACACAACTTCTACATTGCCAGCGAATCTGAGTCAAGACTGCTTCATTCCACGTTCAGCCACCCGTAGAATCCCAGAACAGCATTCCTCAAAATCCTGATTCTGATGCTCTCTCCCTGGAGAGTCTGCTTAGGTCAGTCCCAGATTATTCTGATCAAATTCTCCCACTTTAAAGATGGTATAGCTGAGGCCCAGAACCCAAAGTCACATGACACGTTTGTGGGTAGAACCTTCTTGTTCTTCAAGTCTGTTGGCCTCTAGTACAGGCACGGCTAAGTTCGTCTCAGGGACTGCCAATGTTTTGGACTATATCTTTAAGTTCTAGAAAGTGGTAATTAGCAATGAAGAAATAGTTACATCTGTTGATTCTCCAGGTACCCATCGGGACAAGGACCCTGTTTCCTAGGGGAGTTGTGGGCACTCTAGACCGACAGGCGGATGGTTAGAAAACACTGCCATTCCCAAGGGGCCTACGTTCTCCTCATCTGAGTTTCCAGTCTGAAAACAGGCTTTTCTGCCTCTCTGCTGGTAGAGAACAACCTGGGTCTCCTTCCTGAAAGCAGATGATGACTGATAGCTCTAAGACAGGGATCAGGAGAGAACCAAGATGGCGGACGAGAAAAGCCGCCAGCCAGAGCGTCTCTGCAAAACAGACAGATTTTTAGAAGAAAGTGAAAAAAATAAACTAGCAGAGAAACATAGACCGGATGAGGGTCGGAAGGAAAGGTGCCTGAAACTACAGGAGACTCCACGGGAAGACGCTGCGGAGGAGAACTGGAAGGAGAAAGGCGCCAGCAGGGCCTAACCGGGAGAGGCTTGGAGACCAGCGACAAGGGTAGGTGGAGCGGTTAACTTCCCCCTCCCTTGCATCTGGGACTGCTAGTGGGGTCCTGAGTGGTTGGAGAGACCTGCCGGCACCAGCCCAGAGACGGCTGCCGCCAGTGAGCAGTGGCCTCTTGCTGACAGGGCACCAGGCTCCCAGCCCCCTCGGGGCACCTTCCTGCGCGCAGACCCGAGCCTAGCGGCAGACGCCATATTGTTCCATTCTCTCCTTCCCCCTCCCTACTCGTGGGTGCCCAGAGAGACAATTTAGCCATCACACGGAGGCATCTCCAAGGAACGGGACCTTTCCTTTTGGGGCCCTACAGCAGACTGGGGGGTACTCAGACTGTGAGCTCCCTACCCGCCAGCCCGCCCAGGTGCTGCTTGCCTGGGGACTCCAGGAGAGTGGGGCAAATCCCGAGGTGGAGTGAAATCGATCCAGCTTGGGCACCCCGTGGGTGACTCGAGAGCAGCACCCCTCCCCCTGGCAGGGTCAGGGACTGATCTCCAGGGCCCAGGGGACAGGCCTGCAGACCAGACCCCGTACACCCAGGTCTCGATTGCATTGCCCGGGGCACAGAAGGGATATTTGTGAATGACTGACAGCTCTGACTAAGACAGGGTTCAAAACCTGACTCAGGGAATTATAAATAGAAACACGGACAATTTTCCACCTAAAAGAGTTAGGGTTTGATAGACAAAGAGGGTGGTTGGAAAGTGGGGGAAATGTGTGCGTGTACAAATTTGGACAAACCTTGAGTGGCAGACCAGCTGTTTCTGAGTGGGCCAACACATCAAATTGCCTATGGGATAGGGAAGTTGTTTTAGGAGCCCCAGCTTCTCCCGCGTAGAAGTCCAAGAGTCCACTGCCAACAGGCCGTGATATTACCACCCTCTGCTTCAAGAGGAGTTGAGAAAATACACCTTCATCGTTATTAGCTCTGTACTAGTCACGATGAGGGTAGATGCTTCATGGATGAAGACCGATTTTGAGATGAAGGAAAGATGTTCTACCAGCAAAGGTTGTCAAAGTTTCCCCCTAGGAATCTGGGCCTCAGATTTATACTTTCCACAATGCAGACAAAAATGCCCCACTCACCCCTCCCTTCGTCTCCATTCCTGCTGTTAACAGGCCAGTGTTATTAGTAGCAAAAAAACACACCCACTTACTGGTGAGAAATCCAGCCCACCACATTGCATCCTTCAGGTAGCCATAGCCTCCGTCCACTGTAGAGGGAAGGGACACAAAGTTAGCTTAGAACTTGGCCACTTTCTCCGACACTTTTCCTAACTCTACCCTCATTCCCTGACCTCTAAGTGTTCTCGTGGCTTGGTTCTGGGCCTTCTCCTGGGCGAGTTCATCCAATCCCAAAGTTTTAAATACTATCTATATGTGGTGCCCCGACTTCGTATCTGTAGGCTGGACCTTTCTTCTGAGCCCAGATATATATCCTCTGCTTACTTGACATCTCCTTTTATCTCTCACAGACATCCCAATCTCTTTTCTAAATGGAACTCTTGATTTTAAATGTTCCCCACTAACCCACCAAATGGAACTCAGCAAACGGCACCTCCAATGTACCTAGTCGCTAAAGCCAGAAACCAAGGACTTGCTCTTTGGCTCTACTCTCTCCCTCTCCTTCCGCATCTAGTCCAACCTGCTGCTTCTGTCTCCAAAAAGCATCTCACATGTGTCCACTCCACCACCACCCCCTACGCCAAGGCAGCGTCACCTCTGGGCTGGGTTGAGCCAACAGCCTCCTTTGAGGTCACTCTGATTCTACTCCTGTCCCCTTCATAACCCATCTGTCTCACTGCAGCCCATGGTCTTTTAAGAATGTAAACCATAGTATGTCAGTCCGCTTATGGCTAGGTAGGGGCTCCTGACTGCTCTTAGGATAAAGTCCAGAATCCTTAACAAGACTATGCACACAGCCTTGCTCACCTGTCCAAACTCATATCCTGCCATTCTTCTCTCTTTCCTTAGTTTTTCAAAAATAGTTAGCTCTTTTCTGCCTCAAGCCCTTTGCACATGCTTCTCCCCCATGTTCAGAATACTCTTCCTACTAATACTTGCCTAAACCTACACTCACTCTACAGGTCCCCGTGTGAATGCTGCTTCCCCTATGATGCCCTCCCTGACACCTGATCTTCATTATTTCCCCCTGGGGTTCTCTTTCATAACACCCAGCTCTTCTCCTTCATGGCACTATTAATGATAATTTGAGTTGATCTGCTTATTTTTTGGCATTTCCCCCACTAAAATGGAAGCTCCATAAAGCCAGGAATTGTGTTTGCTTTGTTCAGAGCCTGGTATGTAGTCAGTACTCAATAATATGAGCAATGATGATGATAATGGTGGTGGTGGTCGTGGTGGTGATACGTGGGTTTGAGACTATTCTGTGAAAATCCAAAAACCATATGTTGCTTTTTGGAAATGCCCACTTTTCTAAGGAGACCGTCTTTTGCTTTCATCAGGTTCCTAGAGGGGTCAGAATCTCCCATAAATGTTAAGAGCTCTAAGAGCATTTTTGCTCTAAGGGTTGAAATTGCAGGAGACATTGAAATAGCAGATTAGAGGAAAAAACTGATTCTAGGGGAGTCCATGATACCTCCCCTGCTCTCCCCTGAGCACAAGCAGAAATTTTCCTGGCACTGTGGGAGGTCTCTGGCCTTTCGAGCACTTGTCCAGAAGTGAAGGATAGAGCAGCAACGGCCACTGCTCCCCACTGAGATAATAATGCCACGACTAACACTAGTGCTTACTCTGTGCTATGTATCTTCCTAAACACGTTACGTCTCCTTAAAACCCTTGAGGCTGGTAGTATTCTTACCCTCATTTTGCAGAGCAGGAAACTGAGGCACAGAAAAAATACTTTTCTTCCCCAGGATCACATCATCAGCAATTGAGAAACCAGAATTAGAACCCCAATCGTCTGCTTCCAAAGTACAATGTCCCACAGAAACATTAAACAGAACATGTCCCAACTTGAACACATCATCTTTCCGTAAACCTGTTCCTCCTTGTGCATTCTTCATCTCACAAAATAGCACCAGCATCTCCCCAGTTGCTCAAGTCAAAAACCTGAGTCGTCCTTGACTCTTTTTTTAATACGAAGCCAGACAACATCAAAGCCAGTAAATCCTACCTTCAAAAACTATCCCTGGAATCCACCACTTGTCTCCATTGCCATTGCCATCTTCCAGGCCCAAGAGCTGTTCTCTTGCTCACCTAACTGGTCTCCCAGCCTTTAGTCTTGTCCCCTAATCCATTCTCCATCTCCTGGTTAGGGATCTTTTTAAACCCTAAATTCAACTGTGCCACTCCCCTGACTGGAAGCTTTCAGTCACGTAGCAATTGCAATCAAACTCTGTAGCCCAGTGACAAGACCCTTCGGGGGCCGGCCGTACCCTTCCTTGCTCCAACCATTCTGAGCCACCTTCAGTTTCTCACATCACTCATGTTCTCTCACCTCTGAGCCTTTGCACATGCTGTTCCTTCTGTCTGGATCACTGTGTCTTCCTCTTTCCCCCTTTACCTTGCTGTCTCCTTATCATTTAGGTTTCAGGTTAGAGATCACCTGTGACAGAAAACCTCCCCTAAGCCCCTGAGTCTGGGCTTTACTTGCTCCTCCAAAATATTCCCATAGCAGTCTGTATCTTTCCTGTGATGGCACCTAACACACTACAGAACAATTGCCCATTGACCTGTCTCTCCCACACAACTGAATGCTCAGCAAGGTCTGGCATCGTCCCTGGCACACAGCAGGCACACAATAAATGATGATTAAATGAATGCTTTCACACATGCTTCCTTCTCCTCTCAAGAACTGTTTTATGGATATACATCTTATTTTCCTTTTTTTTTTTTTTTTTGAGACAGAGTCTCACTCTCTTGCCCTGGCTAGAGTGCCGTGGTATCAGCCTAGCTCAAAGCAACCTCAAACTCCTGGGCTCGAACAATCCTCCTGCCTCAGCCTCCCAAGTAGCTGGGACTATAGCCGTGTGCCATCATGCCCAGCTAATTATTTCTACTTTTAGTTGCCTAGCTAATTTTTTTTCTATTTTTAGTAGGGACAGGGTCTTGCTCTTGCACAGGCTGGTCTCAAACTCCTGACCTCAAGTGATCCTCCCGCCTCAGCCTCCCAGAGTGCTAGGATTACAGGCGTGAGCCACTGCACTCGGCCAACATCTTATTTTCCAAACAAGCAAATTCCTTGTGGACAGTGACTCAACAATTCTTCTGTAGCCCACAACAGAGCTCAACTGGATGGTGAGGGCACCCCGGTGTTGGACATTGTCCTTAGCAGAGGTATTCATAGTCCCATTTCGCAGAGAAATTGTGACTTATCCGTGATGACACAGATGATAAGAAGTAAAACCATGGCCGGATGCGGTGGCTCACACCTGTAATCCTAGCTCTCTGGGAGGCCGAGGCAGGTGGATTGTTTGAGCTCAGGAGTTCGAAACCAGCCTGAGCAAGAGCGAGACCCCGTCTCTACCAAAATTAGAAAGAAACTAATTGGACAACTAAAAATATATAGAAAAAATTAGCTGGGCATGTTGGCGCATGCCTATAGTCCCAGCTACTCGGGAGGCTGAGGCAGGAGGATCGCTTGAGCCCAGGAGTTTGAGGTTGCTGTGAGCTAGGCTGATGCCACGGCACTCTAGCCCGGGCAACAGAGTGAGACTCCGTCTCAAAAAAAAAAAAAAAAAAAAAGAAGTAAAACCAGGACTAGACCTGGAGTGTTTGATGTTTGTTCCTGAGACTTCTTCCTATGTTCACTCTACTGAACATATCATGAAGTTCTCAGGAAATACTGGATTATAAAGGAAAGTCTCCTGTTGCCAGGTGGGATTCCCGATGAGTTGACAATGAACCTTTTGTATCCACCTGAGGCTGTCCTCTTACACTGCAGACCAAGCCCCTGAGAAGGGAAGCCGGCTGGGGGCTCAGTTGCCCTGCACCCCTCCCCTCCCACCCCCAGGAGCCTACCGGCCCGGGTGGCCCCCGTGGCCACAAGTCGCTGCAGGCCTTTCTTCTTGAGGATGACGCTGCTGCCGATGAGGAAGCTGGACAGGAAGGCCAGGCCCAGGCCGATGTAGAAGCCATAGCTCTGCCTGACCCTCTCCTGCCAGCTGATAAAGGTGGCGTTGCTGGGCGCCTCAGGGCTGAGGTCACCAACGATCTGGCACAGGACTTTCTGGGAGGAGCAGTAGAGGTTGATCAGGGAGCCTGGATGGGAAGCCCATGGTGAGAGAGTCATGTTGGGAACATTTGCACACTTTAAAAATATTGGACTCAGCCGCTGTTTCAGACCCCATGCTTCCCGTACTGCAGGGCTACACCCACACCCTGCGCCCCCACACTGCCGAGCGCTTACTCCAGCCGGGGGCTTCATACTTGCATGACCTAATCCAAGTTCTATAACCATTTGTCACGTAAGTGATATCTTTAATCCCCATTTCGCGGATGTGGACATTGAGGCAATGAGAGGTCAGATACTTTGCTTAAGGACACAGAGACTGACTCCAGAACCCCAGTGTGTGACCACGAAGCTGCACAGATGGCCCATACATCTGCAGGGGCCACCTTCACGCTGTCCACAGGAATCCTTCCCAGCCTCTGAGCATGTGGGCCTCCACTATCTCCTATCCTTCCCTGGTTTCTCTCCCTCCCAGAGGCCTGTTCTCTCACTATCCCTAAGCTCCAGCCGCAGTAGGAGGCCGCTGATGGGCCGCATGAGGAAGTGAGGCCGGGGAATCCACAGGCCCTTCCAGGCCTGAAGATGACTCGGTGGTGAGCTCCTGTCTGTCGGGACTGACCATTCCCAGGCCTTGCTGCGAGACCTCTGGTGCTATGGCCAGTGCCCGGGTTCTCCTTCAGAACCTTTTGTAGCTCCTTCAGGCTGCAAAAGGATTGGTGTCCCTGCCACCCATGCGGATTCTGTCTTTGAGTTCTTACCACAAACTAGGGAGTGGATGAGGCCCTTTACCTGCATTATCTCATTTAGTCCTTAAAACAACTCGAGATGGTAGGTAGGTATTAGCATTTTACTATCCCCATTCTAGAGATATAGAAACTGAGGCTAGCGTGCCCAGAAGTCCTAGAGTCCCCAAGTCCTAGAGTCCCCAAGAATTCAAATCAGCCCTATCCTACCACTGCTTGCCCTTCTGAGACAAACACCGAGGACGGCAGGGACAAACCTAGGCACAATGGACAGACCCTCAGTCAGAAGAACTACACAAGTTCAACGACACAGTGCCAAGAACAGCCAATAATCCTCCAGTGCTGCCACGCACATGGTCCCCTGCTCTGGGGTTTTCCATGAGGGTTTCTAACAACCTCTGAAACATGCACAATGATCATTTCGAGGTTTTCAGTTGAGGAAACCGAGGCCCTGGTAAGTTCAGTCACCTTCCTGAAGCTACACTTGCAGTAAAAAGTGCTAAAGTCAGAACTGGACTCCGAACCCATCTGATGCCAAACCCATGCTCTTAACCCCGCCGCCCCCCGCAATTAAAGCAGGCAGCAAGGAAGGGAACGGGGACTCATGCGGCCTCCTAAGAGGTATTTTAAAATATGAATTTGTTATCAACATTTTAAAATTGGGAGATTTCCCATGAAAATTCAGATTTGGGGCTACACTTCAAAAATCAAAAAAATCTGCTTACCTTCTAGGCCCTGCCTTCTCATAAGGCGACAACTGGCTGTAGCTGGGCAGCCCTGCCCTGTTAAACAGGGCCTGCTCTCTGCAACCCCCCAGAGTCTCGCCTGGCTCCTTCAGTCATTTGGCACATGCCTGGTCTCTGTAGGCATTTAAGTCCGTGACCTCTGGAGGAAGAAGGCCTTTTTCAAGCTGTATGTCACAAAGGCCCAAGCCCCTGCGCCAAGAACGTAAGTCTGGACCAAGAACCTCTCTGACCAAGCTAGAACTCCCAGCCAGTGCCTCGGAGGGCCCCAAAGTCCAAGTCAGGCAGCTCTGGCTTTGGCACCTCTGCAGCGCAGAGTGGCATCTTAAGAGGAACAGACTAAGGGTAGTGTTGACCTTTCTTCCATGACATAGAACCACAAACAACAGAGCTGTAAGAGTCTAACACTCTTACTTCCAGCTGGGGAAACTGAGGCCCTGAAAAGAGGAAGGACTTGCTTGAGACACACCAACAGCTGGTGGTAGATCTGGGTCTGGAACCCATCCGGGGACACCCATGTGTCTTTTGCAGTGGGAGAGCTCTCTTTCCAACACCTGTGTTGCAATCAAGGGAAGATGAGACAAGAAGCCGTCTCCGTCCCTAATCAGACTTGTTCTGCATTGCTCACTCCTGTTCCTCCGGCTCACGCCTCCTTGCCCAAGAGCCAAATCTGGGGAGTTCCCTGGGCCCAGGAAATGAGCCAGAGCCTGGAGGATGTGGGCCAAGGACGGTGACTCCATAGAGAAAGGCCCAAATCATTCTTATGCCCTTCCCCTGATCCTAAAGGTGCATCTCTAGCCGGTGGAGCCAAAGGACTCACCAGGGACTCGGCTGTCACTGTGAGGCCTGCAGCACCCAAGGGCTCAGAATCGGGCCTTAAGCCAAGTTCTCCCATTATGGTGAAAAGAAAAAGAGGGCTGATGGCCAAAGGAAATCCAATTCTGCTCATCTGGAAATTGGGCATTGGGCCCAGTGATTCCTGACTTGTCTTCCAGAATATGGCGGGACTAGAGAACACACTCTGCTCTAGGAGAAAGGAGGAGGCTGGAAATGGCTCGCTTTATTGGTCAGGGAAGCAAAGTCAGACAACACCCAACAGGCTGGCTTTGAAAGCTTCACTCCAGAAGGGAAGAAGATGGAGAAACAGTGATATCTCACAGGCTGTGATCCCAGGATGAGGTAGGAAGGTGCAGCTACACCAAGGAAGGGGCTGAACATAGTAGCACAAGCACAGGTTGGTTCTAATATTCCATTTCCCCACTGTATTCCCTTGAGAAAATTATTAGCCTTGTCAGAGCCTCAGTTTCTATATCTGTAGAATGGGGATAGTAAGACGATAACACCTACCTACCGTCTAGAGTTGTTTTAAGGATTAAATGAGATAATGCAGGTGGCAAGCCTAGTCCACTACCTGGTTTATGGTAGGAACTCAACATGAGGCCAAGGGGCTTTCCTTATCCATTCCTGAGGTTCTTTCCGTTTCTTTTCTAAATGATGTGTGTAGCATGGGGGGCGGTGAGTCTCTGTGTCCCCTCCATCTTTGGTGGCGCTCGCGGTGACCCAGAGAGATAGGCCAAACTGGGCAGGTACTAAAATCTGAAGCAACTGTACAGTAAAAAACCCCGACCTCTCAGGCTGCCTGCTCCAGTCAAAATGCCTCCCCCCATAGGTCCCTTTCCTCCCCTTACCCCTCTCAGCCACCCCAGCTGCGAAGGTGGAGGTGAAGTCTCAGCCAGAACGCTGATCTTCAAGGCTGGGTGGGAGCCAGCCGGTGCTGACCGTCCCCTCCCCGCTGGGAGCCCGGGCAGGAGAGGCTGAGGAGGAGAGGGGCGCGGAGGGAAGGCGCGAGGCGCGGAGCCCTCCCCGGTCCCTGCCCGCCGCACGCACCGTTCTGGCAGCTGGCGTTGCTGACCCGCAGCTCCATGGGCCGTGGGCGCGCGGGCTCCGGAGCAGGTGGCCGCGACTTGTCCCCGGCGTGGCTCGCGCGCACGAGAAGCCGCCTGGGTCTGGATCCAGGGGTGGGGAGGATGACACGCCCCAGAAGGGAGGGTCCCCGGGGGAGGAGTCACCCGACGTCTTGGGCGACTCCGGCGACTGGAGGCCCAGCGCAGAGGGGCGCGTGCCCTCCCGGGGTGCGGACGCTGCCGGGCTCCCAGCCACCAAGTCACCGCACCTGGGGCAAGCGGCGAGGGGGCGGGTCCCGGGCGCCGCCTCTCCGGGACGCCTGGGCCGGCACCCAGTTCCATCCGCAGAGACAGAGTTCGTGGGCCCCTGGATGGCGGGAGAGGGGACAGCTTCCCTGCCAGCTAGAAGTGGCAGGTCAGGGGTGGGAAGGGTGCACCTGCGTTCACTCCGTTCCTCCCTCCCTCCCGCCGTCCTTCCCTCCCTTGTTCGTTCATTCAATGTAGGTGTGATCCGTGCCGGCACCAGGGGGCAACAGGTACATAGTAGGTGTCCAATACATGCTCAATATGCATTTATGTCGAATGGATGATAGGGGCTTGGTAAATTAAGTGAAAGAAAGAAACGAAGTGATTAGAGACCAAAATGAGTAGGACTATTCCCTGTCCCCCAGGGACCTTATATATTAATGGGGAAAACAATGGGATCAACTCTCCAGAGACTAATGTTTCCCAAATTACTATTTTAGAAAAGTTGTGTGTGTGTGTGTGTGTGTGTGTGTGTGTGTGTGTGTGTGTGTGTGTGAGTAGTGATGGAAAGTATATTTGTCACTGTGGGGAACAGCAAAAAACAAGTTAGAAGAACACTGACGGGACCATAAAAACACTCAAGCAGTGCTTGCTATAGGCCAGGCAGAGTTCTAAGTACTGAAAAATTCCAGTGCGCTTTATCCTCATGACAACCACACGAGACACATACTTTTATTATTTGCAGAAAGGAAACTGAGGCACGAAGTGATCAAGTAACTTTGCCTGGAGTCTCAAAGAGCCAGGATCAAACACGCTGTCGTGGCCACACTGAGCCATCTGGCATTTTAGACTGAAATAAACTCCTGCTTTGGGGCGGAGAGGGCTGGGGCTGCTAAGCAAGCAGTGATCCGTTCTGACAGTGCTGGTGACCGGCTTCCTGGCTTTTAGGAACAGTCAACTACTGAGTCTTCACTGGGGGACACTGTACCAAGCCCTCAGGCATTGTCCTGGGAAGCCTCCTGCGAGGCCGGCACCCTTACTCTCTCCATGTTGCAGATGGGGGAAAATTGTATTTAAAAAATTTTTATTGTGAGACAATTTTAGACTCACAGAAGAGTTACAAAAATAGTCAAGAGAGTTCTCATATACTTGTCACCATCTTCCCTTAATTTTAACATCTTGTATAGGAATAGAAAAAACCATATTTTGAATACTCTGAGATACTTGCTCCCAAGGTCACAGAGCTAGTGGATGAAGGAGCCAGGCGTAAACAGCTGTTCTGCCCCCAAGCCTGTCCTCTCAGCTGCCACTCTCCACTGTCCACTTTCACACTTCTAGCTGGGCCTGGAAGGATGGATTGTCCCAGCAGGGGGCTTCCCCTAGCCTGCTGAATTACTTTGAACAAGTTGCTTATTCTCCGTAAAGATCAGTTTCCTCATCTGTCAAATGAGACACCCCCTTCTTGCCCCTTTCCATGGATGTGAACCACCATGGGGAGTGGGGAAGGGGTGGGTAGGGAAGAGTTTAAAGAGAAAGGGAAGTAACAGCCATTGCCAACAGAGCACGTACAAGTCCATGGGTCGTTAAGTGCACCCAGGCCTGCCCCTGGCTTTGGAGGGGTGTCCTGCCCGAGTTCAAATGGAGGTGAGTACCTCTAAGACCAGTATGAGTTGGAACACAGAGCAATAAGAAACGGGATGATCAGTCCTACTGGAAAACCATACTTCATTATGGAAAAATGTATCCACCCATGCTACCTGAGAGGGAGGATTTGACAAGAGAATTGAACTTATCTTTTCTCTTCCCTAAGCATTTCTGATGTTCAGATCTTCCTTGTGCTACAAAACAGTGTCCACTCTGAACTGGCCGTGCTACAGCTCTCAAACTCTCATTGCATTCAAACTCGATTGCTTTTGTTCCAAGGACATAGCGCAAAGAGACATGGAGTATTTCCCTCCGGCCTGACATTTCCCTCCACCCCCCAACTTTACTGAGGTGTGATTGACAAATAAAAATTATATGTATTTAAGGTGTGCAATGTGAGGATTTGATATAAGTGCACATTATGAAATGATTACCACCATCAAGCTAATTAATACATCTATCACCTCACATAGTTACCGTGTGTGTGTGTGTGTGTGTGTGTGTGTGTGTGTGTGTGTGTGTGTTGAAAACACAATATCTAGTAGCTTCTCTTAGTGGCTGACTTTTTAAATCACAGAGAGGACGTTTACGACTACAGTTGCCAGAATTGAGCCCAGACCCTGAGACACAGAGATGCCCATGTGTGTTATTCAATACATTTATTTTTATATGTGTTTGTGATTTGTGGAGCCATTAAATTTCAGGGTCCAAGGCAGGGCCCCCCTTGTCTGGGGTTAAGGGCAATCATGAATCCATCCTGTGCTTTGAGACAGGCCTTTTCAGAGCTTGGTGAAGTTCTTGTTTTAGGTCAGTGGTAGGAGGTAGAGGGAGCTGGGATCCACTGCAGGGCTTTCCACACCCTCTCTGGGCCTCAGGCTCCCCATGTGTTCCAGGAGGGGGCTGGGCCTCCCCAGGGCTGGCAGCAGAGCATCTCACCAGCGCAGACATAAAGGGCCCCATTGAACTGCAGGCTCCTCGGCTGCTGTCCTGACAAAGCCCTTTTCTCCCCGAGCCACAATGGCCCTGTCAGGCAGGTAGCAGGGCCTACGGCATTGTCTCCCCAGAGAAGAACAACAGGGCTCCCTGTCTGTCCCAGGCTCCGTCTCCCTGGGGAGGGCGGGAAGCTTTAGAAGGGTCTGACCAGCCAGGACAGATGGGCTGTGTCCTTAGCCAGCTAGGGACTGTGACCTAGCCACAATTCTTTTGGCCAATTACTCAGAGATGAGCAGAAAAAAAAAAAATTTAGCAAAACTCAAGTTCCTAAAAAGTTGACATTTCTAAGTGTATGCCTAAATGCTTTATGTTATAGAGCTGTGCCATCCAATATGGTAGTCACCAGCTACATGTGCCTACTGAGAATTCGACAAGCAGCTAATCAGAATGGCGACATCCCACAGGTGTAAAACAGCCTCTGTGAGCATGTTGGAGCAGATCACCTTGTTGTGGGGGGCTGTCCTGTGTGTCGTAGAATGTTCAGCAGCATCCCTGGCCTCTGCCCCCTAGATGCCAGCAGCACACACACACTTCCACCCCCTACCCCCTGGTTTTGGAAACAAAATCATCCCCAGACAACTGCCAAAATTGCCCTGGGTTGAGAATCACCCAGATTTCAAAGACTTACTAAGGAAAAAATAATGTAAAATATATCATTAATGATTTTTTAATATTGAGTACATATTGAAATGCTAATATTTTGGCTGTATTGGGTCAAGTAAAATTATTATTAATTTTCCCTGTCCAGGGCCGGGTGCGGTGGCTCACGCCTGTAATCCTAGCACTCTGGGAGGCCAGGGCGGATGGATCTCTCCAGGTCAGGAGTTCAAGACCAGCCTGAGCAAGAGCGAGACCCCATCTCTACTAAAAAATAGAAAGAAATGATCTGGACAACTAAAAATATATATATAGAAAAAATTAGCCGGGCATGGTGGCACATGCCTCTAGTCCCAGCTACTCGGGAGGCTTGAGGCAGAAGGATTGCTTGAGCCCAGGAGTTTGAAGTTGCTGTGAGCTAGGCTGACGCCACGGCACTCACTCTAGCCCGGGCAACAAAGCGAGACTCTGTCTCAAAAAAAAAAAAAAAAAAAATTTCCTTATTCATTTTACTTTCTATAAAGTGGCTGCTAAACTATTTTAAATTACATGTGTGGCTCATGTTATGTTTCTACTGGGCAGTGCTGTTATAGAGGATGAAACTGAGGGCCAGAGAGGGAAAGCAATCAGCAGAAGGTCACAGAGCAGCAGAGAGCAGAGTCAGGGCCCCAGCTGGGTTTTCAGACCAGCACCCCAGACCAACTCTGCTACTCCACACAGCTTCCCAACTGAAAGGAAATCCAAAAATCAATGCATTGAGTTTTTCCAGTATGGTGTGGTCAGAGTACCAGAGGGGGAATAGAGACATGAATAATATTAATGCTATTTATAGAGGGCTTACTGTATGTCATATGCATGCTCATTTAATCCTTGCAACGATTTTGGGAAACAGGATCTGTCATTATTACCATTTTCCATATGAGGAAACCAAAGTCCTGTGAGAACACTTAGCCTGCAAGCTGGGAAGCTAAGCATCAAACCCAGATACTCTTCAACACTACACATACCGTCTCAGGGTCCTAGGTCTAGTAACACTCTGTGAGACTTGGGTAGGTCATTTTTCCTCCTTGCATCCTACCCTGGGTAAGAGGACTGGGCAAGATATCATCTGAAGTCCCTTTCAGCCCTGCAGAGCTGGTCTTCTGGGCAGGGTGGGGAAGGACAGATGGCTGTCACCTCCTTCAGGCTGATGGGGAGTCATGGAATCTGGACAGTCAGCTTGCAGAGGTTGGCCCACTCTTTTCTGAGTATGTCCCTAGGATGGCTGCTGGCCTCATAAAGAGCTTTGGTGACATCAGAAATAATGCTTGGAATGGACATATGTACATTTGGTCAGGCTCTAAGAAGAGCACCATGCCTGACAATGGGGTCCATGAGCAACTGGCATCAATAATGATTATTGAAACAACACTCTATTACTGAACTCTCCTTCTGTGTGCTAAGCACTTGCAGACATTAGCTTGTGTGCCCTTTACAATCTCTTACTCTGGGTACTATTTTAAATCCTATTCTACAGAGGAAGGAACTGAGGCTCAGAGAGGTGGAGTGACTTTGCCGAGGTCACACAGAGATAGAACTCGAAGTTGGGACCATGAACTCCCAGAGCAGCTCTCTTAACCAACACACTGGTTTGCTGAGGTCAGAGCCTTTTTTCTGGTCCCCTCCTGGTCCTCTCTATATGGGGTAGCTGGAAGACTGGGGCCATCCGGAAACCACAGGGGGCAGCCATATAACTTTCTTGTCAATCCTCCTTCAGAGTCAGAGCTAGAAGGGCTCACCTAATCCAACC